ATATATACATATATATGTCTGTGACTTATAAACATTTGCATTGCAAACTTTCACATATACACATGGACATTGAATTATATAAATGGGAAAAAAATTGAGAGGGTAGCTCACATCACAGTTGTGCTGCTGTGTGCTTATAGTGCAACGGTGTGCAGTAGTACAGTGCTCAGAGCACAGGATGGCTGCAGCCCACACAGCATAGGGTCGGAAGGCAGGGAGACTGGTGAGACATGAAGAATTGGAAAATAATAAGGAAGATACATACCAAGATTATTCTTGATAGCTGGGACCAGGTGGAACCATAGCCTGATAAGCTAATGGCTGCCTGGTGTCCAGGGCACTCTTTATTTATAGAGTAGGAAGGCGGGGTAACTAGTGCCGTGTAGCTCACGTAGCCTAGGCTGAACATGATTAGTTTGTGATCAGGCATGTGCAGAAAAGGAACAAGATACATGATGTAACTGTCTCCCGGGGCTGCGCCATCCAGGATTTCTACAGTCTAAATCATGTCTGTTTGACTATCTAATAATCTACGGAGGAGAAAGGGAGTAGGGATTAGGCAAAAGGCCATCTTCAGGCTCAGCCTGTGGCACAGGGTGTTTGGAAGCAAGAGGAAAAGCAGAGGTGATATAGGGGGACTGTTAGGACGCAAGGCAATATACATTGTGTCAAAGGTGTAGGACTCACTTTGTCAGACTTACAAATGAATCTGATTTATGAATGTTCTCACTGAGTGGAACCTGGCCTCAAACATCTGGCAATTCTCCTGCCTCAGCCTCCTGAGTACTGGAATTACAGCCTTGCACCATTATCCCCAGCAGTTTCATTATATGGAGAGAAAAAAATCGTTCTTGCGATTTTAGGACTTTAGTTGTTAAAAATTCTTTTGAGCCAGGCCTGGTGGCGCGTGCCTGTAATCCCAGCACTCGGGAGGCTGAGGCAGGAGGGTCGCTGTGAGTTCAAGACCAGCCTGGGCTATATGTTGAGTTCCAGGTCAGTCTCAACTACATAGTATGTGTCTCAAAAGACAAAAACAAAGACAAAATTCTTTTGAGTTATCAATGGAACTAATCAAACAGCATGAAATCATGCAAATTATTATAATTGCTAAAATGGCATATCTGATAAAACAGGTAGTGTTCATGGTACCTTGACAAAACAGTCCATTTGTCTATTTAAGATTGGCAAGGTTGAGCCAAGACCTGTCATGTAAAGGTACAAGATCCCAATAATGAATGTAACTGTACTGTAAACCTAAAATATACCAATAAACTTAATGAGAAAAAAAAAAGATTGGCAAGGTTGGGGATTTCATGGCTGAGGATTTTTTTTCTTACGTATGTATGTATTTTTAGAGGGAAAAAGTGTACTTCACCTAAGGGAAGGAAAGGGGAATCTGTCCTGCAGGCGTTTACCCCGAAGCCAGGGTCTGGAGCTAAGCCCCTTCCATCTCGGGTCTGCGGGCTTCACTAGAGGGGGCGACGCGCGCCTTCACGGAGGGGGCTGGGCCCAGGACTCCCCCGGGGAGCGGGCACGGGCGATGC